GAATTAACCGGAATTAATTTGAATTAACGTGAATTAATATAGGGAGTTAATATGAGTTAACGTGAATTAATTTGAATTAACTTAAATTACTAATTCAATTCAAATTAATTTAGTAATTAACGTTAATTCAAATTAATGTTAATTTACGCTAACTTAATGCGACCTCATAGAAGCTACAAAATCAAGAGGCGTAGGTTCTTGCCGGTTTTTAATCGAATAAGAAATCAAAGAAGAAACTATCGAAGTAGAAGGAAAAAGAGACAATTGCACAAAAGATTAAAGAAGAAGCTGAAGAACAATTTGAAGAATAACCTAATAGAAAAAAAAGAAGAAAGATGTCACGAATCAGAAAGAGGAAATTGAAAAAAGTGCTGTCAAAATGAAGCAGAACCAGAAAGATGTTTGTTAAAATCCAAGATCGGACGTACAGCGTAAAGAGAAACTGAAGGAGAATCTGAAGAAGGAACTACAAAATGAGGCTATAAAAGCGGCTTAAAACAGAAGCTCAATAGGAACTCGAACAAAAGCTGAAGATGCTACTGGAAGGAAGTTGGTGAAGAAGGTAAAAACAAGGCTGCAGTCGAATCTGAAGCCAGGAGGTAAGGCACTATATGAAAGAGATGTTTAAAAATAAATTAAAGAAGAATTGAAGGGAGCATGCAAGAAAAAGTGAACAAGAGACGAAATAAGGAAACGAATGAGAAACCGAAGATGATAATTGGCCAACGAAAGTGCTGAATTAACGTGAATTAATTTGAATCAACGTGAATTAATTTTGAATTAACGTGAATTATTTTGAATTAATGTGAATTCATTTAAATTTGACACCAAAAATGGTATGTACTTGTTTCCCCCTAGGTTTACCCTCTATTACCATGGCGACCAGCCAGCCTAGTGGAATCCTTCGTTTGGTAGATGCGTGTTTTCTGGGGTTAGATCATGTTTGAACCGAAAGACAGCTTGGAGCAGCGCCCATTGTACGCCTAGGGTCTTTTTTATGTCTTCTGGTCCAAGATCCATGAAGGGTTTCCTGTAGATCCTCGGGCAGGGTAGAAATGAGATTCTTGCAAGTGAAAACGCATTCCACTTTCTAAGTTTGAACCCACCTCTTTCAACAACTCGATCAACTGACGTTGCCGGACCTTCGCAACTTTTTGGTGACTCGGTTATTAAGTAGTCCGTTTCACGATTACCGATTCTTCCGGAAACTGCTCATCTTTGTCTTCTGCCAATTGTTGCAGGGCCCTTACTGTTTGGTATGGTGCGGAAGTAGTGCCATATTATGTGACTGTGGTTAGTCTATACTCCTTGATAGGCTCACGAGGGGCCGTGTGTCCTCGATAAGTTTCGTAAACCGCTTCAACCTTATTTGCCGCTTCCGATATTGTGATGCTCGTTGGATCTCTCCACGGCTTTTGCCCCGTAGTTAGCTTTTCATCTCCATACTTGCTATTTTGGGCACTTGAACTAACTTCGAAATGTAGCACTCCAATGGGACCGGAACCTTTGTGGTAACGGGCACCAATTCGTTTAAAGGCTCGAAGGACCAAATGTGGATTTAGGGTTGTAAATCCTAATTTATCCCAAGCAAACTTACACAAAGTAAATTCGGTCGGGGATTATCTTATAACTCAAACCCGGCAGGTTACATGCTATTTATATCACAGATTTACTTCCTTAAATATGTAAATTATGTTAGTATGCAGGACGTCAACCTTACCAACAGTGTACCTAATATTGTTTTAGGACCTTTGCAGTTTACTTCCTGCTGGTTCAGTAGTATACACATTTCCTTATTATTCTGCATTTCCTTGTTCATTCTTCAAGATTATGTTAATGCAATATTGGTTGATACGATTTAATTAAAACAGCTTGTTTTTTTTGTGGGATGCGCTCTCAAATTTCTGGCATATCATTATTTTAAATCCAACATCTAATCCGTTTCAATTGCGCTTTGCGACATTACAGCTTTTTTTCAATCTTGCTCTTTGTCACGTGGGTTGTTACAAAAATGTGGATGATGTCCGATTTAATTGCTTAAACCCACAGCTCGTCGGTAACACTTGGTTTACCGAATCTTCGCAGGCCCTGAGGCCATCATTAATTTTGATAGGTTGCTGTCAACCTTTAACGCTACCTTCGACTAAAATAACTGTTACGCGATTATCCCGGTGTACGGTAATTGGATGGTACTAACCCACACGGGGAGGCCATGGCTTTCGAAAAATTCACAAAAAAGACAACTACGAAGCTCGGACGTTTTTTAATCTACCGCGTCTTTTACGAGCACATATCTCCCACACAATAGGGACGACACTTGCGTCATTCGAATACATTTGGAAACGTCTTGCCTTTAAATTGAATTTTTATAATGACGCGGCGGAGTTCTGATGAGTTGCCGTTCGAAAAGAATTTCCACTTTAACTATGCCGAGCACTTCTCCTAAGCAAGAGGCTCGAGAATGGCGGAAAATGAAATTTCATTGATTCCTGCATTTCGTTAATTTAGACAAAGGGCGCCACAGCTTCCGTGGATCAATATTCATATGGATGGTGATATTTAGTTATTCATAACGGTAAATTATCGAAAGGAAACGCGCACAAAACAAGCTATTTCGCATTGTCGCAAATGGAATACCTTCTCGTAAGCAAATGTATGGCGCGGCTATGTTTTACGTCGAAATGTATGCAGCTCTCCGAAATCCCATTACAATCTTAGTTTCAATCTTGCAATTCGGATAAAAAATCCATATTCTGTTATATTTTCAATTTATTTCTATTGTCAGCGACCGTAAAACAAAAGGAGCGGATCTGGGTTTTTTCTCTCCGGAATTTTCGCTTCCGCTGGTATCGTGCGTACAGAACAATTTCGAAAGCGTTCATCAAACCTGCGGCGATCGATTGAAATAGAGGTACAATTGAAAGGGTGCGTTGACCAATACGAATTTTGTGAAAGTAATGTCGGCAGAGGAATGGATTAGTTTTGTAAGCGTCAAACGTGAAAAGTATTGGCAGCTCGATTCGAACCCGCTCGAATATCGATTTCGCTCTTAACTACTCCCATGTCAATAGCAGCCTGATGGATTTTGTCATTTCACACATTTTAATGACAGTATAAAATCGGTTATCTTGCACAATTTAAACAGCATTTTAAAACTAGTACAAATGAGCGAGTATTTCCAAAGTCTTGGTTGTGCTAATCCCTACGTCAACAAACTCGAACAATACCTGATTAGTATTTACGTTTTATGGGGATTACCCTCGTGCATATTTACACGCTCCGCCGTTCCAAAGCGGGTTAGAAGATTAAAAATTCAAACCCTTCCTGCTTTTCCACTGTTAGCACTCTGGCTGTACGGGGGTTAGTCATTTCTAAATATAAAATGAAGAAAGAAGTAAGTACATAGGCTCCCGAGCACCAATTGCTCTAATTTTAAAATTTTGGGCGAGCTACGTAAGAACTTTTTAATTTGCAAAGTATCATCATTTGTTCCAAATTAGAAAGTAATTAGAAAGTCATTTAAAGTTCTGGAAATAAATTGGGTTTTATCCTTACTTTTAACTAATTATTGTTCAATTACTGAACTAACGTAAAAGGTGGTATAGGGGGTTCAGATCCCAGCGTTAGGAATGCAAAAATGAGTATCTCAAATGATGTTCCCCTCAAAGTTAACGCACTTTTCTATGTGCTACACCTAGGGAATGCAATCCCGCAGCAAAATCTCAATCCCGGTATTTGCGGGATTGCTAGATGTTAATCCCGCGGGATCCCGCAAAACTTTAAATAAATTGGCAACTAAGCAATTCCGTGCGGTTAATTTCTGCATTAAAATAAGTCGCTAATTATCACTATATTTAACAAAAAAGTACCTTCGGCCTAACTTAGAACTCAAAAAAACCTCACCTGTAAAGCATAAAAAGGTGAACTTCTAAAGTGCCTCAAAAATCATCGTAAATTTTTAACGAAAAAAGTTTAACAATTATACAAAAAATAACTTCTCCGTTATGCGTTTCATTAACAAAGTCCACTTGGTCGACAAATTCCTCAGTCCCGCAAATCCCCGTTTATGTGCGGGATTAATCCCGGTATTGCATTCCCTAGCTACACCGTATATGATTTAATTGTCATTTTGAATGTGACCTGTAGAATCCATAATTTCAAACAGTTCCAAGATTGGGTTACTAGTTCAAAAGTTACAGCCCTTTGAATTTTTTTCGAAATTGGTTTCTAGTCTATAACTTTGATTGAGAAGTCTGATCGAAAAAGTACGAATTGTTTTGGATTCTACGTACCAAAATTAATAAGAAAAAGTGTTTTCCCGAGAAATTTTGGTGCAGACGATGTTCGGTAAAAAAGGAAGGTTATACACTGCCTTTTTTGAGCCCCGAAAAAAAATTGTCTCAGATCGATCCGAAAAAAAATTTTCTTATAGAATGTGGCCTGTAGAATCCATAATTTCAAACAGTTCCAAGATTGGGCCACTAGTTCAAAAGTTACAGCCCTTTGAATTTTCTTTCGAAATTGGTTTCTAGTCCATAACTTTTGATTGAGAAGTCGGATCGAAAAAGTACGAATTGTGCCGTCTCCAAGTGGCCTGCAGAAATGTACGCAATTTATCCCATTAAATTTTGAGTTATTGTGCTAACAACAACTACCTACAACTGACTTTTTTCTGTTATGAAAACAATACTTTACCAACTCATATATGTGTGCGGAAAAGTAATAAACTATTACATACCTCGACTGCTACCAGCACTGTTATTCCAGCTACGGTTGTCAGCCATTTCTTGTAATTTTGGATTGATAACCTGTTTCGCTTCCTTTAGTACCGCGACAAGGTCGGCGGCTTTATTTGCATTTATAGACGTAAAGAACGTGTACGCGGTGCCGGTACGTTGTGAACGCCCTGTACGACCGATCCTATGGACGTAATCTTCCGAATTTGAGGGATAATCAAAATTGATTACAAATTTTACATCTTCTACATCTGCAATACACAGTGTGAACATTAAAAAGGAGTTACGTTATAATTTACTAATGTTGTAGAATAAGAAGAAAATACATAGCTTAAATAACACTGTAAGTACAATACTATTTTAGAATTAATTGTAATGTGAAAACACAAAAAGGGTACACTAGTGGTTAATTGCATTTGATTCACAAAGAAAGTATTTCTTAAAATAAAAGAATTAGGAGTAGTATTTCTCTTGACGTCATTAAATGAACCTAGTAAAAATAAGAAACATCAAATCATAAAACAATATCTGCTGTACGTTACTCCTAATAAACCAAACAGAACCAATAAATTAATAAAAAGTATTTATTAATCGTACTCAAAATTAAATTGTAAAAGTCTACATTATGCAACATACATGTTAAACCAGACGCCAACACTGAAAGTAGTGTTGCTCTAAGATCTCTTTAGGCTCATTTGAGTATCACTAGTTAAACATAATTTGCATAAAGTAAACTCCGCCTAACAGGTACACATAAGCACATCAATAAATTATAAGATGAAGTTTTAATTATTTATATGCGTACAAAATTACAATCAAGAATATGATAGTATAAATTAACAAATAAACGTGTAAGAGAAGTAGGTAATATTTTTTAAGATGCACGATTTTAAAATGAAATTTGACCAATGTCGCAAATAATCACTTGTGGTTCAAGACAATTAAACTCAACCCTTAATTATGATTGGTCAAACCTCAATAAAAATCCCTAAAGTACCAATCAAAATTTCGATGCGTACCAAACATTGTTTACTCAATATCTGGTGGGCAGAGAGCCCAAAGAGTGCAGCAAATATGGGCCCCCGTAGTCGAGATGTGTAACTGGACAATCACACAGGCAAAGCGGAGGAGCCCAGGGAGACACTGAGTAGCCCATAGCCTGAGCCAGTCCACAGTCCAAGAACCAGACTTCGAACGGCCCGGCACAGGGCAGATCGATAAGTGCCTCGGGCTTGCCCTTATTCACGGCCAGGTTATAGCCAGCAGTTCTAAACCACGGACTCCAACATGGCCGCCGACCCGGGCGAAATGGTTGCCGTCGACCGGAGAGGCACAGCCACAATGACTCTACTCTTATGTCATTAACTTGCTTGTGCCTCTGGAAAAGAGAGGCGCCCAATTTAATAAACGACAATACTGCAGTAAGTCCCTTGCACATAGCGCAACAGGCTAATAGTTTGAAAGTGCATCTCTTTGAAAAGAAAAAAAATACGTAAACTAAATAAATAGAATCCTCATTCAAAATCAAAACATAAAATATTAGCCTGTCATAAATTATTCATTTGCATTAAAAAGAAAGGCATACACAAAAACATCATACCTAAACCGCGTGCCGCTACGTCCGTCGCAACGAGGATCGGTGCCTTACCCGATCTAAAATCTTGCAAAACCCAATCTCTCTCTTGTTGAGATTTATCTCCATGAATACAAACGGCTGGCCATCTGAAAATGTAATTTTGTGTGATTAGATGAAATCGCATAAAAACTCTTATTGAAAGATAAACAACTTGTCGCACTAAACCTGATTTGTATATGTGTGAATTACCTTTTAACCATGTAATCAAATCCATTTTTACCACCCACACATTAGTAAAGGAGCACAACCGATTGGAACCAAATTTGGTACCTACACATATTCTTCGACATAAAAGGAACAATATTGAAAAGCTTTTGGCCAGAATTGCGCATGCGCAACAAAAAAACTGTTCATTTTTGACGTTTTTCCATATTATGGCAAATGGCAAATTTTGTAAGAATACCGGCAGATCATTAATATTAGAAGTAGGTATCTGGAAATGAAATTTCTTCGATATATCCAACATATAATAATGTTTATTCTGATAATGCTAACAGTTCCATTGTTGCACGTGATATGATTGTGAAAAAAATGTATGTTTTGGTCTGTTATTATATAACGTACACAGATAGAACCAAAGCTCTCATGCTCAAACCGTTTGAAATATAGATATGAAAATTAGAACGCTTCCATTGGAAATTTTGAGGTTAAAAAAAATTATACAGGGTGTTTACGGTCTTCCCTGTATCCTTTTAAGGGGCGGCAGTACAGCTCAAAAGGAGTCGACAAACCCCAAAACACCCTGTATATAATAATAATATATAATACCTACAGAATAATACAATAATACAAATAATACAAAATGTGATACCTACAGAAAGAGAATGGTATATTTCCAGGTTGTGACTGCCCTGGTTACAATAATGCTGCCACAAGATAAATTCATCACCTTGGTTTCCAGGTGAATTTCTACCAATTATAATTAAATTTGCTGCGACTTTTCCCGTCAAATTATGCGGGAGTAAAGTTTCTAAGTTGGTTTCAAAAACATTCTCCTAAACAAATATCTCATGGTAAGTTGGAGTTTTTATTTTGTCGATTGGAATAACAGTGAGCTTTCATAATCTTCCCACGTTTATCAATGGGGTATTTGTTGGAAATTGTATTTGTCTGGCTATGGTTTTAAATTATAAGCTGGAAATTGGTCGTGTTATGTTAGTTCTACAATTCATCACATTCAATAAAGCTTAATAACAAATAAACCGATATCACAGAATTCGAAAATCAGATACAGCCCTGCAAGCCTGTTGAAACAATGAAATTTAATAAAATGCCGCCAACATTACTATTCCCCCATTCAGTGGGTGTTAAAATTACTGGGTATTAGAGAAAAGATGGGTCTAAAATTGCTATCGTCCAAAAATGGCTATGGGTGCTATGTTAATTATCAAAAATAAAAAAGAAACATACCCATCTCTCTTCATTTTTCTAGTAATTTCATCAACACGTCGTTTAGTCTCAATAAAAATTATAGTTTTGTTTTCAGTCTCGGCCATAATTTCCTTTAGCAACGTGCTCAACTTAGCCTCCTTCTCGTACTCTTGACACACGTCGATAATTTGTAAAATATTATGATTCGCCGATAGTTGAAGTGAGCCGACATTAATTTGTATGTAATCCTTGAGAAACTCGGCGGCCAAAGACTGTACCTCTCGAGGCCAAGTGGCCGACCACATTAGTGTCTGACGATCGGGCCGAATCTGCTCGATGATTTTTCGAATTTGGGGTTCGAAACCCATGTCGAGCATTCTGTCTGCTTCATCTAGCACGAGGTAAGTGCAGCGACGCAGGTTAGTTCGGTTGCTCTCCAGAAAGTCTATTAGTCGGCCGGGCGTTGCGATTACAATTTCCACACCGTCCATCAAATCATTGGCTTGTGGGCCTTTAGGAGCACCGCCAAAAATGCATGTGTTTCGAATGCGAGATGAATGTCCGAATTCTATTGCGACCTGCTGTATTTGTTGGGCCAGCTCGCGTGTTGGTGCCAAGACTAAAGCAACGGGACCGTCGCCTTTTAACAGTCGGGCTTGGTGGTTAATGTGGACGATTGCTGGTAAAATGTAGGATAAGGTCTTCCCGGAGCCAGTAGATGCGATTCCGACCATGTCACGGCCAGAAAGAGCGATTGGCCAGCCCTGTGACTGAATAGGCGTAGGCGTTTTGAAGCCCATCTTACGTATTTCTGTATTTACGTAATCAGGAAAGTTTCCTTCTTCGAATGTTAATACTGGATTGGGTATTGTTTTTCCTTTAAGTGAAATTTCTTTACTTCTACGCCACTCTTCGACGTCGTATACTGAACGATTTGAAACAATTAGGCTCGGAATGTAGAAATCTTTTTTGAAGGGTTCTAGACGATTGAGGTCCCATCTGGGTTTACGTAGGTTAGACCCGGCTGTGTTACGCCGGGCATTGCCACCTGCACCACCTCCACCATAGCCACGATCACGGCTTCTTGACCGCCTACGATCGCGACTTCTAGACCTACATCAAAAGCTGGTCAGAAGAAAGGGAGAAAGCCTACTTACCTTTTTCCCGGACGGCCACGCATTTTACACTTTTATCAAAATTCGCAATTAAGAATTTCGCATTGCCTCAAAATTAACGAATAACGACAATTAATTTCATTCAATACACTCGAAAAATTAGCACAAGAAGATAAAATTAATTAAAGAAAGGTATAATCATAACGGGATTGCGGAACACAGCATCGATTCGTTCCGTATTAATTTAAAATAGCATTCAGCACGTAACGTATGACCCTGCGCTATCCTTGTCCATCCTTACCTAAACACATTTACGTAAACAAATACACGTGTAGTAAAAATCATAGGAGTAGTGGCGAACAAAATTCGTTCACAACGAAGAGTTTGTGAGGTTATGTTTTCCCCATTTAAATTTATCTACGAAATGGATATTTTCAAACAGCTCAAAGAAAAGTGTGTCTTCATTGACAAGGAAATTCGTGAAATCAACGATAAAGTGAAGGATTTAGAAGACGGAGCAGAAGTTAGTCCCAAAAGTATATACAAATTTAATGAAAATCTGAAACAGCTCGAAAAGTCTGTTAAAGGTATCATCACCGAGTTGACAAAAGACATTGAAGACCAACAACAGTTGCTTGGTGAATGTAAAAGCGTGATAAGAGGTGTATTATGTTTAACAGATAATTTACAAAGTGAAGATTCTGAGTCCGTTGACGATAGCTCTACATCTACCCCTACGGAAGATGAAGATATAGAAAACATTGCCCCAATAGAAGAGCCGAAAGTACCCGAGGAGAATTCATCTGATATAGATTCAGCACTTACTGTATTAAATAAATCGTTACCCAGGCTATTGTAATTGTTAATTTTTTAAATAATAAAGAAACAGCATGAATGAATCATTTCTGACCCTTAATGTTTATGAAAAAACAAATTGATTTGGTAACAATATATCTTTCCGGCCTTGAGTATGAACAATCAGCTCGCACTTTTACGTATAACAATCTTTATAGATATTTATTGTCGAAGGGTATATGTATGAGGCCCGTGATTTTTGTGGTGTGGTTGACGGTTGTCTCTTTTCTTGCCAACTATAGGATCTCCCGTACCTCTAAATTTTTTCACAGACCACAATATGTAGACCAAGTTTATAGTTGTTCAAGCGCAGAAGAAAATGGCCATTTTACTAAAATTATTTTATTCGCGAAAATCTGCCCTATTGTAAAACGGCTGAAACAAATGAACCCAAAGGTGCATATCTTAGCAACTTGTGTGCAAGAAATATATCCATTGGTGACGTTAAAAAAAAAGCTATTTCTGTTTAAAAAAAATGCGCTTTATCTGCACAAGAGATCACATTTGTTACAGCCGTTTTACAATACAACATATTTTCGCGAATACCGCAAGGACAGCTATGAAAAGGATTTGAAACACAGCAATAATTACCAATTACATAGTTCTCATAGGGCCCCTTGCACAAAAGCAGTTTAAACCTCGTTTTAAGTTAACGCAATGTATTAGATGAAATTTGAAACCAAACCAAACCAGCAACTAATTTCTATATGAAATTGGTGCCCCATCTGTACAACATACTTACACAGGTCAATTGTGGTGATCAGTGGCGTAGGAAGGGGGGTGCGGACCTGTAGGGGTGACAAAAACGTATCTAAAATTTGAAAAGGCTTATGATTAATTATAGCAAGGGTGACAAGTTGAAATTCCGCCCCGGGTGTCAGAAGACCTTGCTACGCCACTGGTGGTGATAATCAGTACCTTCATAAACGAAAGCAAACTGGCTAGCAGCCACTTTCCAACATTCAAAATCTACCAGCACAGCAAACTGTAGCAAACCAAAAGATACAATACAGTAGTGAAATAAAAACACCAAGAAAAAGTTCCACTAAAAATATACATGTATTTTGTAGACTACCCAACTGTATTGAAAGACAATGAACAAGGTCATGTATCCCATATATAGTTGGCAATAACTTAGAAGATTGTTATGAATGAATAGAACAAATATCTATACTACAGTAGAGCATTTTCCCTACCAGTAACCACCCACACAATTCATATCAACCAATTCAATTACAAAAGAAAAATACTATGCATTTTTTTTAAATAAATATGTACATCATACTTCACACATACAAACTATATCTAAACATTATTTTAAACAAAAAAATTATTATAAGCAGTAACACTTAAAACGCATATCGAGTTCGAATGTCCTCAAGTTTCTTGGAAACTTCTGCAGGTGTACGTTCAAGATCGATAGCAATACTTTTTTGCTTGCTTGGTTCAAGTGAATTATATTGTTCACATAAGTCTCCATCAATTACGTTCTGGAATGAAAGTCGTGAGTTAACATTACAAATTCTGTATGCAATACAAACCTTCACTGGATAATAATAGCTTCTAAATGACAAGTGATCCCGCCCACACAACGGTGAATTCTCACTGCGCATGTGCATCTCAAGATGCTGAAAGAAGTCGTGATCTTCGTGGGAAGTAAATGGTACCAAAACGCCGACGGAGCCGGAAACGGTCGTGTAAATTAGAGATTCCCAGCCACCAGGAATCAAGGTAGCCTTCTGTAACCAAGTGACAGTTTCGCCCACATGGAATGTTGCTATTGTATCAGCCTTTTGAGATGCTCCATTTAAGAGACCTCGATCCCACAAGCTTTTGTTTCCCGTTGGATCCTCGTCCACATCATCTGTTGTGTTGGGGGGAAGTCGTACAATGCCAATGTTACCAAACTTGTCCGCCGTTGCGACGGTGTCATAGTCAAGGACTGAGGTGCAGGTTATCCAACGTGGATGTGTGTCATCCGCGAATATGATCAGCTGATTTTCGTGCTTTTTGTAACGAACCATGTAGATAGATTCTTGAACATCGGCGACAAAAATTCGCCGACCCATCGCCTGAATATTGACGATGAGATTTGGAATGTGCTGCAATATACAAACAAGTATCAGTAAATGGGGGTAAGCTGTGCAGGAGAGCATCTTAAAATTTCTTTTTAAATCAGTACTGCAGGATGTTTCAACACTGAACAATAAGTAAATGTGTATTTTTGTCATCATTTAATGAGGGTAATTACACAAACCGAAGAGTAATGTTAAAATACTATCGCAAGTTATACATAGAAATCAAAAGTTAGCGACTGTCTAGTCACCTTTGGAATTTTTGTTTACATGAGAAATCATACTTAACTTGGCAACAATGCATTGTATTGTACTTTTCATCTCTTTAGGGTGTATAAATAACAAGATGTTTACGACCTATTACCTACCAATAGAAAAAATTACCTTATTCTCACATTTGCGCAATAACTTCTTTTTTCCATAATCGTATAACCTCAACAATCGACCGACCCCGGCCAACAACCGACCATTATACGAACAAACGGCATAAGGAACTTCTTCAACTGGTGTACGATGTATTAGTTCTAACTCGCGACAAGACATCTCCACTTTATAGGTATCTATATATCCCGAAATACATAACCTAGGATTGAGCTGTAAATCCTTGGCGACGCCGACTATCAAAAACCACTGGTGTTCAGGTTGTCCGTTAAACTTGACCAAAGATATACACATTGCAGCTTCATTTTGTTCGAATCTTTTCATTTTAAATGTAGTCCCTTGTACCGGATCCATTATTCTCATTGTAGAAGCCCACATTCCGTGTCCCGCTTTCGGCGCAGAGAAGATATTTTCCGGCAAGTCCTCATTTAAAAAAGCTTCCGCCATTTCCTTTGCCAACTCTTGTTCTTCTTCACCTGCCGCCTCGCGCATTTCTTCCGCCATCTGCAAACGGCGCTGCTTTTTTGTATCCTCAGTGTAGGCATTATGTTCCGTCTCTAGCATAATAATATTGGACGTCTCTGGATGGATAACAAATTTTCGTGGCGTATACTCAAGGGGAAACGAAATCTGATTGAAAACTGCGCCCAATTTTTCCAAGGCCAAAATACGAAGAGTGTTAGTGGAAATTGCAACAATACCCTCGGGACATTGCTCGGAACTGAAACCGGACGCGTACTCTAAACTTTCATATGACAAGGGTGTTAAATAGAAACGGCTTTGATAGTAGTAACTTAGCCACGAACGACTGCTCATAGCCAATACTGCTTCCGAGTCTTGCATTCTTATGCGGAATAGCTTGACGGGTCGCGAGCCAAGATATCTTGTTCTGGTATCGGTCAAATCACCCGAAACAGGATCCAATACAGTCCTGAGGAGAGCACCATTTTGTAAACCAATGTTTAAATACAAGGTACTTGTGGTGCTAGCAGCTGCAGCATCTTCAGGGTTACGTTCTGTACAACCCATTTCGACAATACAAAGTGATTCCGGACACACGGGTAGTGCCTGCATAGAGCGGGGCGATAGACAATCGGTTGGATCTAACGATATAATTCTGACAGTGTTATCTGCCAAGCCGACTGCGAGAAACCAAGAACGTTGCTCTCCAGGTGCCACATTTGCTAATGCCATACAGACTACATCTGAATTCATCCGCTTACGGTCTTTGTATTCGTGCAACTGACCCGTCTGAAAAGAACAAGAGTGTAATCAAATGTTTATAGAAGGGTTGAGTGGTAGAACAAATGTTTCTTAATGATTCACTTCGATATGTTACAAAACCATAGCAAAGGCGACAAAAAGATCTTCCTATAGCATGAAGAAATATCTGATAACTTTTACAGTTACCAGTAGTTATATTCACGCACAATTATTTTTCATAATATACCCACCGGATCCATTTCGAAATACACCAACTCTCCTCCCGATAACGCTATGACCACCTGCCTCTGGTTCACCGCGCATTTAACAATGGTCTTTTTTCCAGGTGCCTTCCACTCATTGACCCGCTTATCGGAGCAAATGTGTCGAATTCCATCAGGATAAACCTAGACAAAAGCTTTATTTAGTCTCAGATGGCTGCAAAGTACCTAAGGTACAAAGTAATGTCGCACAGTTGGGAGACCCATAATTTTCATACAAAAGTTATGGTACTATGAACATGTGCGTTTATTATTGGCCAATGAATTTCCATCAACAGTTATGTAAACACGAAGATGTAATGTGTGTATTGGCCTTAAGAGTAAATGTAAAGGGGAGGAGTCAAAATCCTAGTATATTGGATATATAGCCAGAAATCACCAATAGAGGGAAAATTTAAATGGCTTTCATAATCAAATTTTTAAAAGCTTCCTAGCTAGATGGTATTGTGCTCATCATTTTTTAAACATGTGACAATCTCATCAAATGGCGTTTTAGGTCAGTTTAAGCAACTTTTAAAGAACATTTTTTTCTTTTTGTATATACAGGGTGGTTCAAATGGGACACTTCCTTATGGTGCTAACACCCTTACTTTAAGATAGAAAAAAAATGGATCTAGATAGGTAATAGCAGCACATTGCAGCAGCAGTGCGGCGCGTCAAAATCTAAGTCGTAACAAGGTAGTATTTTATTTCAACTCTGACTACTGTAAACCCGGTATATTTTGGAATTTTTGATTTATCACATGTTATATTTAATATTACTTGCAATATTGCATTTTATTCATTACAATCACATAAGGTTTCATGTTCGTTGTTTTTTGGTTTCTTGAAATTAAAAATGTTTGGAAAAAATTTCCAGATAACCAAAACATTGTCGTTTTAAAAAATCTGGCCATCTTTTGTTCACCATGAAAACCTAGGTGTATTTGATATAAATACGTATAACACGTGATACCAACAACAAAATTTAGGAAACTTTGCAGCCTTTTCAAAAACTGCAAAATATACGGGGTGATGTGTATCAAAAAAATGTAGTTTGGGGTCACATAAAAAACAACCTGTATAAAAACGTCCCCTACCGGCCAAACGATTAGAGATAGCTGAATTCTGTTTGTGTCACTGATTTTCTCTTTCAAATAATAATAATAATAGTCTTTATTAGCACGAACATAAAATAACTACAGTAAAAAAAAGAAACTAAACATCATACATGAATAAATGAACTCCAGACATCGTAAGTCCAATTTTTTCTATTTGTTAAAATAAAAGGTGTTTCCATAAAAATGTGTCCTACACATTTGGACAACCCTGTACACACAATGTTCGCAAATTATTAATAAAAATTCAAATTTAGGGGGTTTTTTAGGTCAATTCGATAATTTGTGTACTACATGTGTATTTAGCATTAGTCTTCCCTCTTCCGTCTGATAATTTATAATATCTATTTACCTGTACTAGTGCATCGTCGCTTAAAGCAGCACAGGATAGCGTAGGAGTGGTACCCAAAAAACCACTGTCCGTAACTTCTTCAACAGTCTCCCCAATCGACAACACAAGGGTAGCATTGACGAAAGACACAATAATGTAAGCATCAAATTCATCTGCAACAACAAACACTAACGTTGTAATTGCGTTACATATTCGACAATATTTCAAGTTGGTATATTTAATCAGACAGGTCAAATTGTAATCACAATTAAAATCAGGTGAAACACGGATTATGTCATCATGAAAACTGCAACCGTTATGATGATAATCGAAGATTTATCCACTTACCTGAATGATGCGAACTGGAATTTGTCCACCAACGAATACCCTGAAAGATAAAAGCACTGGTGTCTGAGACTTACTTCAAGCACCAGGCTCGTTTAATTTTTGCTTGCTTTAGTTTTATTGAAATCGAGCACGTGACTTTGTCACCAGCAACGATTTCAAAGGGAAGCAAAAAGTTACAGAAAATGCCAACTTACCATCGCTTCTACGTTTTACTGTCCAGACCGCGTTCGGATTTCCGGGCAGTTCCGAAACCGCCATTTCCGAGACCTCAAGACCGTGCCGTAGAACTCTAAGCGACGATCTGGGACCGCGCCCGCACAGCATGTACAACTGTGGAGTGTCCTCGCCGGCCAAATCAGCAACCCTGCACGACAATATTGGAGATAGCGATTCCATTTCATCCACAAGGACTAAATTTCTCAGGGGACGAGGTGCGAAGAAGAACGTGTCGCCCTCTTCCAGCGGCATGGCCGAACTGAACTCCAACTCGTCGTCGTCGTCACCCAAATGTGCTATTTGGTACAGAAAGCTTCACAATTTCATTAGCATACGGATGCAACTAACGAGGAAACCTCCCAAACTGCAACACTTTGATTTCCATTAATAAAAAGATCACTGAAAATCACCAAAACAGGGTGTAATTATCTTTGAGGTTGGTTTTTTTAAGGAACAAGGTAATTATTACAAACAATTAAAAATAATGATTGTTTTATTTACATAAATTGTAAAAAACAATGAGAGATACCATGATGGTTAAATGGGAGCAAAGTTGCCTCATTTTGTGACTAAACAACGCATTTGAAATTTTTGAAAAATCTATGAAAATAACCAAGATTTCACTGAAATACTGAAAATGTCAAATTTCGTTTTCCTTTTCTCTAGTTTAAATGGATGGTTCCCATTAGTACCTTCTATGAACACTTTTTTCGGAGAATCTCAATCTGTTATCAGAATTTCCATAACACACTAGATGTAGCAGCTACATAGACGCCATATTGGATTTTTACAGAATGAGATAGAGACAAAAAGGAAAATAATGATATTTTGTTGAGAAACGAATGTTAAACATTTGATATTGAGATTTTCCTTGTAAATTTATATGGAACTATAACAAGACGTCATTTTTTTCCCTTCTCATTCCGCAAAAATTCAATATGGCGTCCATAAAAAGCAGTAGGTCAACATTTCCAGTTTTTCGGCGATACCTCGGTTATTTCCAGATTTTTCAAAAATTTCAAATGCGTTTTTTTAGCTCCAAAAAATGACAACTTTGCCCCCATTTAACCATCATTGTATCTCCCACCGTTACGGAGATCTCAATGGTGAGCCACGAATTTGAACCATCCGGTATTTAACATCAAGTGATTTTTATAACTTAACACGTTGAGTGCCACCAGAAATTTTTGAAAATTTTTTATCGGGCCAAAAACCATTTTAAGCATTTTCGGATATGTTATGGCGGGTATAATGGCAAAAAGTTATAAATATCATGATACAGTGTGTATAGCGATGGGGTATACAAGAGGGAATTTTTTTTTAAATATTGATTTATGAAAAAAATTTATTCTTCATAATATGTTTTGCTTGCTTTGAAAGTACCAATAACGTTTCGATAATCTAAAATTTATTTATAAAAATTTGGAAAAATAATAAAATTAATTTTTTTTTATTGAAAGTTATCATTCTACATTATAATTAAAATAGAGTATTACTATCAAACCACAAACAATCGAAACGTTATTGGTACTTTCAAAGCAAGCAAAAAATATTATGAAGAATAAATTTTTTTCATAAATCAATATTAAAAAAAATTCCCTCTTGTATACCCCATCGCTTTACACACTGTACATTTGTTTATTTAAAAATAAAAATAATAAATTTAATAAAAACTGCTGCAACTACCGAGTGGTCCCTAGGGACCGCCGTGGCCCTATCAGATATGTTACGAGCGGCCCCCACGGACCGCTGCGGCGCTAAACGTGTTAATAGATAACCCCGCCCAAAGTTTTGCAGTCTGGAAAGAATCCTGGTAAGCAAACTTACTGATTTCCGAACTCCGACGCGACGAATAAAAATCCAGTCTTCAACACGCACATCGCAGTCGCCACTGGTACAGTGTCGAAGTACTTCAACTTAATTTCTGTGACAACATCCTCATCAGTCTCCAAAGTAATCTTAAATATGTCTCCCTGCTCAGTCTGCGCCAAAAAGAAGAACATCGACTTCGTCTTGTGAGTGGCAGAACAAACGAAGATCATCCCCCTTTCGGGGTCGTCCAAATCATTCCTCCGCCTCGGTATGGGGCAACGAATATCATGCTGGTCACCCAAGTTTTTGTATGTCAAATAATTTTCGGAACAGATCAATACACCGGAGGGACCGTCATTACCGCCGGGCACCGAAACAAGAAAATTCGCGTGCTCCTCTAACGGTTCAGAATATTTGCGTACCACGTGGTTCACACCCAAGTCAAGTTCGTAGAAGGTTAGCGTTTGCTGTGTTTTCTGCGCCGCCTCGCCGGTCGGATCGGAATCCGCCTCCTCGTAATCGATCTCTAAACAAGCAAACATTGGGTTTTCGTAACCGACATCAACACCGACCATGTGATATACTAACGTATTGCTCTTGTGCGCCTCTAAAGGTGACGAGATGGTGAGACGAGCTTCCGGATCACGATTCAGAATATAAACAAGTTTCTGCTTCTCAATTGCGCCTATCATTACGGCTCTTCCCTTGGGATCTATGGCCAAGTATTGTCCGGGGACGATTCGCCGACAACCCGATTTACCAAAGGTTTCTTGATGTATCTTTTCAAACGCATTTTTAGCGACAATATACTCTAGTATAACGATTCGACCGGAATCCGAACCGACCACAATGTAATCTTTGGTACCGCCGGTCAGACGAAATCCCATCAACGATCTTACGATGCCGAATATTTCCACCGTTAGTAACGTGTGTACCTTTCCCGTGTTCGGATCCGGCCTCAGCAATTCTATGCTTTTGCCTCGTGAAATAATGATCTCTTGTTGTTTTGTGCCCGAAAAGTTACCGTGAACGGCATGGGTAATTGCCGTAGCCCTTTGCAAAGTTAGATTGTATAGATACATGTTCTGCAAGTAAAATACTGTGTAAGCTACTATGTATAGTTCATTTCAGAATGAGGAGTAATTAGCTGGTGGACAATATAAACTAGTAGGTACACTGTAAATGATATTCTAGCAGCTGTCAACAACTTCCTCATTCTGGGATACAGAATAAGATGCTTTGTAAAAGTGTGAGATGCGAAAACCAGCAGTAAAGTAAAAAAGTTTACTGCAACTATGCAGAGCATCTGCAGTTATTCTTGCACAATCTACGACCTGCAATTTATATCAGATAAACTGCTGGAGATACCGTGTGCTTGACCAATTGTAGCCACTCTCACTCTTCCGAACCAATTCCAAAAGTGCGTCAAAATTACAAACTATTTAATGGCGAGGTATTTGATGTACTGCACTGGTGCAACCCTGTGCACCTGCAAAAAATGCTGTTAATGGTTGTCTGGACTGAGCTTGCTCCAACTATACACAGTTCACAATTTAGGCTAATGAACAGTGTCATTGTAGCAGCTTCAGGATCCAACAAACCAACAGTCGTTATCATGAGTCTTAAGCTCTATTAAGTGACGATTCAGTATAAGTTTGGTATTAATGTATGTAGCCCAAAGGTTCTGTGTTACGTTTGAACGTGGGGGTGCTGGGTTGCACCAAACAGGCCTCTTCATAATTCTAGATCAAGATCCTAACCTCAATTGTTACAAAAGCGTTGTAAATAAGAAACCCATAAAATACTGTACGCAAAACGTGCACAAACTGCATCCAATAACAAATACACTTACCACAAGTAAAGATGCCTCGTCATTAACTGCAGAAAACTTAGATGAAAATCACACAAGCGCCGCCATTAAACTATTCGTGGTACACAAAAGCTACTAGACTTGACTTGTCTAGGACAAAATTTAGGTACCAATCATGGTGACATGTAATGTGAATAAAATTTTAAAAAATCCATTATTATCCCTTAATTTAAAAAAGTAAAAGGGTAAAAAATTGCCACCAACTCACACCGTCTGCACAACCGAAATAAACAGGAAAACAAACAGACGCCACTTTAAATATTACGGTCACCTCCCGAAAACATTGCGTTTCCGTTACGCGCTCTTTTTTAAAATATGGATTAGCTGAAATCACACAGGGTGTGTCATAGAAATATTTAATAATAATTAATGAGATACAAGCACCAGCACAGATTACCAGGATAAACTTGTAGTTGGCTTTGGAAGCCGAAAAACAATGAAAATTTCGAACTCCCTAGATTTTAGACGGGCGCAATCTTCTTCTCCCCCAATTAATTTAACGCAATAACTTGGAAACAAATTTCTTGTAGCTTGAAAAATTCTGCGTCTGTTCATATCCCTTATACCGCAATGGCTATATTTCAAATTCTCCGATTTTTGATTAGCATGTATTAGAAGATGCAGTTTGAAAGACTTCTTGTTAATTGCCATATACCAGCAACGATCATGATTACATTTCAAGTTATTGGAGGCGTTGTGTTCAAAATATTCATTTTGAAGTTTAGTAAAAAAATAAGGGGAGAGAATGTAACTGTGGTGCGCGTGCGAATTAGCATAGCCCGCGACGGAAACTCGCCATCATATTACCTCCTTTGAGATGGGCAGTTATGTTCACTTGACTTTTATAATAAAACGGAAGAAACGATGCAAGTTATTTTGTCACAAATATATGTGGTTTTGTTTTTACTCCACTGCCAATGGCGACGCGTTTCCCCCCACTCTTATAACCTCCTTTTTAACCATTTCCGTTGTGTGCAAGGTTCTCTCCTCTTATTTTTTACTCGTACATGCCATCCCATATTTCGACCACGTTGAATCCGATTGTCTGTTGCCAAGTGTGAAAATGGAACAGATATTCTAAATAGCGGGTTTTGGACCACCCTGACGTTTTCTCCACCTTCATTTTATTTATTTCATATATTTTTGTACTTGGTATTGCAAATTTAATTTACATGCAACTTTGCCAATATTTAAATAAAACTGAAAACTAAATAGCAATAAGGTAGTAGTGTACATACGATATGGTATAATCTGTGGAACACATTTTGTGTGAGATTGTTGTAAGATTCTTGACGGCTGTTTTATGTTCCTATGGCACAGTAGGACTCGTACATGTGATTGTAAAAAAAAAGCAGTAATGACACGATTAAATAAATTATTATTCTCTTGCTTTAAGTAATTGCACAAAACTGTTATCAAATTAACAAAGAAAAATATTACTTTGATGAAAAACAACAATAAATCAATGAATAATAATAATAAACATTTGAATATACTTTGTAAACCTAAAAAAAGTACATGTCTAATAAGGATTTCTAAGAAGCAAAGCCGTACCATCAAAGGTAAACTACCAGCACTTTAACACTTAATAAATGACGACATAAAAGTTATTACTCTACAGTTACAAAACTAAAAATACATTTATAAACAGTCTTACATTACTTGTATACTGGCTCAGATCTACCAATTCAGATCTACAAAAATAATACCGATTCCAGCAGTCAAATTTTGATAATCAAAATCTTTTTAGATCTTACTACCACCCTGTACAAAAATTGTTCAAAATTAAAAACGTAATTACAAGAAGCAAAACAGTGGAATGAGTGATTCTGTTTTAAAAATTGTCATGTCATGGCCGTTCCGTAAAAAATATCACAGTCCCAATTTCGAAAAACAAAACCTTCAAACTCTTGCAATTTCATGACTAGAAAAGTGAATTCCGAACGTTTCTGGCCGTTTTGCTACTACAGTTTATACACGACACATGTACAAAGATGAGATTGCGGCAATTTCTGTTTATGCCATAAAACTCACTACGAACAATACTGAAAAGGACAATTATCTTATTCGCTAAATTATTAGAATTAGTTAGGAAAGGTAAGCTTGCTTCATTTTACATCCTTCAAAAGGATGGTCAACCTGTATAACGAATTATAGATTTTATAATTGGCTGCCTAAACAGAAATTAAATTAGGTCATGGCGGATTAGGTCTCTTCGTAACGGTGTTTGTCTTCGTTCTTCCAGGAACTTACCTGTATGTGGGGTGGGGGTAAAAAACTTCGCAGCGATTGTACTAGTTGAATTGTGTCCATTAAGGCTGCAAAAAGTAGAAAATTAGTTTGCGTTTCTGACGTTTGGGTGTTACTTTTTTGAAGCGCTTCGGACTGTTTTCCGTACGGTTTGCACATTGAAGGGCGAACGTAAGTTTTCATACGTTGCATATTTTTCATAACTTCGGCAAATGCTCGAATGATCTTCTCCTGGCCACCTTCTGAATTTGTAGAGCGTTTGTCTTCCTGCGAACTTTGCATGCCACTCGAGGACCACGCGCCGTTATGTAAGGCCAGTAGGTCTTTGTTTGAGGCTGAGAAACCTACAATACAATTTCAGTGATTCCAAGTGTGAAAGAAACTTGCGGTCCCAGTGAGGGTGCTAGGTTTAGTCTCCCAAATTTTAATTTTAATAATAATCTTTTTGTATATTTGGTACGTATGAGAAAAGGTCGTAAAGTATATTTCCCTAAAAAAATTAAGCCAAAACTACCCTTCATTAAAATTAATGTAATTAATATTTCTGTCTGCTTTTATCACATGAAGACAGCGCATGCGCTCTCTCTTACATTCGATGCCTACACCACGAGCAACTGTTATGCTGCGTCCTTCTGTTTCACATGGAACAATAGACATGTTTCTCTGTCGCAAACTACTGCAAATTGCAACAACCGCACTGTTTTGTGTGAAAAAAAGAATGTAAGAGATTCCGCTTGTGCTCTCTCCAAGTGAGAGAAGCAGACAGAAATATTACATTTCAGAAGAGGTTGGTGCCTATGTACATTTGATTACAAAAAGTACCAATCAAGTCCTCTCCAGCATAAAGTGAGGGGTTTAGTGCCCAAATGCGGAACTTTTTGGTACAACCAAACTAAGTGAGGAATGCCAATTTTTTTAATGACCGATATTCGAGATCAATTTCATTCAAATAATTAATATAAAATCTTCAAAAATCAAAATGCAAAAAATCAATCTTGATGTAATATTTACCTGCAGTGCAGATGTCCAAAGAAGTAGGTCAGCATGAATTTTTTTTACAAAAAGTAAAAGAGAAAACTAAACTAAAAACCTAAAAATAGTAGACAAACTAAGACCTATACTGGTCTCGAAACTGCTTTGAGTGAAAGTCCCAAAAAAGGGTTGCTTTTTGAACAATCTGAACCTTATGAAAGGCGTTTTGAGCAATCGCGCCTGTGGGAAAAACAATCTGGGAACGCCACTGATGAAGAGCTTACCTTCAAAACTATCGATATTGGCACGCAAAAAATCAGACAGCTTTGGTTCAATCACAGGCATTTCATAGTGGGACTTCTGACTTTTTGCCAGATCGATTTGCTGCTGCATTTGCATTTGCCTTTGCTTCTCCAAGTTGGCATTTAGCTTATCTAAAGCCATGGCCCTATTCTGCTGTTGAATAATCGCGGCGGTAATCTGATTGGGCGGAACAGATTTGGTTTGTTGATCGATCGGTTTGCTATCCAAAGCCGGCCCTGTTAGGTCCATGGCCGATATGCCGAGATGTGAAGCAATGGCAGGTGGCGGTATCGGCATCGGAAACTCAGAATTAAAATTGTTAGCGCGAATGTCCGAGTTGGCTTGCGAGGCATTTAGGTAGGTTGGTGCGGATAGGTGTTGAATTGTTTTTTGGGTTAATTCCATTTGATTTTTGTAATAACGACATGCTGGATTGGGGCAGTTTTCGACAACTTCGATTATAAACTCCTTTTCCATGCCAAAATTTTCTCTACCGATTGTGTAGGATTCCATTACCTTGAGGTACAAACCTTAGGATTTACAGCTAAGGCAATGCACAACTTACCGCTCGAACGGTTGCCTCCAGGCCCAAGTGTAAACCATGTGGGCCATTCATATGCTTCAGCATTACCGCATTCGCAAAGTGCTCAAAGGGTAGAATAATTTTGCCATTCTCTCTCAAAATTAACCTACCCTGTGTGTCTAAAGTAACACGGGACGCCATCATTCTATGAAAGGATCATTAATGTAACGGACACCTAAAGCTACACTTACTGTAGATACGCCGCACTCGGCAACATAGAAGACTCCTTCAGCTCAGTAAAGCATTGTAGCAACTCGACAGATGGATTCCAACCCTTATTTTGTAGGTACAGCTGTAACAGCATGTACAACTTCTCGGTGACGTACCCGGCATTGGCAGCGAAGTTCATACTGGCTGATGTGGTCAAATCGTTGACCGACGTCTGTTGAATGCCTTTACTTAAAACGTTCTTCATCGTTTCAGCTAAATCCATCTCAGTCAAAAAATGTTAAATGCAGAGGTCATCCCCTGCACCAATGCAGTAAAATTTGATAACCTCATCACTTTATGAATAACTTTTATTGCTTTTTTGAACGTTTTACGACAATTTTCCGTCCATTTGCTTCTCTGCTACGTTAAGCGGTAAAGAAATTAATAAAAACAGATCAGTGTTTTACAAAACAAATATAAAAATTTAGCAGCGCATGCGCAATAAGGGGAAATCAGAGAAAGAGGGCCCTCATAACGTTGCTGTACCCTTTGTATGAGGTAAATGAACTTTCACAGTCTAAGCTTAAATTCCATGATCTGATTATAACAGGGCCGGATTGATTCCTAATTGCACCATTGACTGCATCTCTAATAAGCCCCCCTAAATCTGGTCCCCCCCAACCTACGAATTACTCGTAGCCACCAACCAAAATAGCAAAATGATTATTATTGTGTTTATAATTGACATAAACCCAAGCATAAATAATATTCAGGGTAATTGTAATATAAATATATTCAAGTTACTTAAAAAAATTGTATAAGGTTGCGCTGACGGTTGTCATAGTTGTTATTTGGAACGAAATTGTGAATTTGTAATTTGTCTACAACCGTTGTCCAACGAATACATAACCACTACCAAATTTAATGGGTAACTGTAAAAGATAACCATAATGATTTGGTAAAGTTTATGTAGTAATCTACTTCATTTTTATTTTATTTTTTAATTAATACAAAGTAGGTCCAACTGCATGTGGGCTATATATATCAGAACATCCTGTATGAGAACACACGAAACATAACCTGACATAACCCACACACAATTCTCAAAACAACATAACCTCACTATTTCATATTTTCATGTGATTTCCTTAGTGTTTAAATTGGGATTAAGGGCCCTGTTAATACAATGGCTAAGCTTGGTTCTTACTACGGACTGTGCCCCTTAATTGATCAAAAAAACCTGTTAGGTGTCTCGCAGGATTCAGAGGCAGGGCACGTCATCGTCACCTTAGGAAAGAATATTGCGATTAAGTACAGAGTAAGCCGGTTTAAAGTGTTACAACCAACGGCTAACGCACGTGAAGATTTCAGATCAGAAACAAATTCATAGTTGGCGGACGAAGGACAAATTTAGTTCACCGGTCGTGTACGATAAATGTACAAATCAGTACGTTGCTGTTTTTAATCAGGTCTTTATACGAACCTGGCAAGGTGAAGAAGAGTACGTTGATAAGTTAAAAAAATTCAAGGTAATAGCACGCTTCGACTTTTATTTTGTAATATGTTACGTTATAGTTCAACAAGCCGATCCACACATTAATCAGTTGTAACCAAAAGTGTTTCCTGGTATTTAAAAACGGTACGGTAACACCTCTAAGTGACGGATTAGAAAATCGCAAGGAAAGCGTTAATGAGGGCACTTCAAGCTTACATACCCCAAGCCTGGATGTTCTTACCGCACATTTCAACGAAAAACATTATGTAGCCGTATTATCAGGTCCTAGCCATAAGATGCACGTGACAGTAAACACGTTTAGTGAAGATCAAGTTTCTTGTAGCACTTTGGAAGTGAATCGAAAGAAGGGGTTAACTGTAAAGGGCCAGATTCTTTGCCAAATTGATAACTGCGACAACATTGTGCTGTTAATATTATGTATGTTATTCAGGGGGATATCCATTGATTTGTTCTCCACATCAATGTTCACTTCTGGTTTACAGCAACAGTAGGAACGAGATTTTTTCCTTTTGATAGGGGGAGCAATTTAATGGACCTATTGATGCACCAAATGTAATTTCTATAATTTAACATTTTAAGGGTCCGATGGAAGATTTTACTCTTACTCCCTTGACCAAGACACAAGCAATGTAAATGAAACGAAAGTGACAGGAAATCTGTTTTCACAGTTTGAGTTTTTATCATGTAAAGACAACATAACGATGGCTTACATTAACCAACATCACATTGGCATGTATGGCGCTGACGCAAACGAGGAGGGTGCCGCTTTAATTTTGTACAACACACAATTTAAGGTTTCTCAATCGAAGCAGCTTCTTAAACTATTTACATCCGGCGCAAAATTGTGGAAAATCGAAAATAACTTATTGTTTTGCTCTGGTCAAAGTTTAGGCGTGATACCCTTTTATTTGGACAAAGAACAGTTATCTTCATTGGTCGGTAGTCACAGAACCGCTACAATCGACTTGGATCCTGATGTCGTGGTCATGGAAGAATTGGAGGAAGCTAGTTGGGGGTCCCCGTTGGAGAACATCGATAGATTAATTCCCAAGGAGATTGCGAAACTAGTGATCGAGCTGTCACAGCAGGGATTCTCAGAGAGCACAATTTGCGAGATCGTGATCCCCCAGTATATCGAAAATAAGAATGTCAACGCAATTCTGAGTTGCCTGGATTACTTTTGCGATATACCCGAATTGTATTTGGTGGAATTACTTCGCTTTACCATCAAGATTGATTCAAAAAATTTTAGTGGGAAGTTGGTTGGGAGTTCTAATGTGGTACCTGTCGAATTGCGTCAAGTGGAACGGTGTAATTTAATGAACAAGATTTTAATGTCTTCGTTCAGCGATTCGCTGCTACTGCCTCACCTTCATAGCAAATTAGATCTAGGGTGCACGATACTTCTTTTGCAGTACATTTTTTATTTAATGTCGTCAGACACCAACAGCCGGTGTGGAAAATCAGTAACCGAATTTGAAAATATCTTAATCAATTGGTGTTGTGTACTTCTAGACGCGAATTATCAGAAGTTTTTACTTTCCAGGGATACGCAAATTATAGAAATATTGACGAACTTTAGTGGCTTAGTCGCACATTATACTAGTTCTTTAGAAACGTTACAGCAGACACTTCCCTTACTTAACGAGCTGAAGAAAGGTAAAAAACCAAACAAAAACAAACATTTAAATAATTTGCTATATTCTGTAGAAAAATTAAACTTATATTAAAATAAAACTATTGTTAAAACTATCAATTTATTTTATTCAGACACATAATACTTAACAGTTGAGCAGAAATATCAACAAAATTGAAACTTTAATTAATTATAATGATAGATTTATAATTAAGGCGAAAGAAAATTGTTAATAATCATACTATAGACAAACTAAAGTAGGTAATAAATCAAAATATAATAGGTAGCGTATTATGTGATAATAGGAAAAATTATATTAGTGTATAATGGGAAAAGAGAAAACCAAAATTATTGGATCAACTTATAAGGGATTTTAAATTAGTGTTATCATATGGCACATTCGATAAGGATAAATAAAGGCTGTTAGTACTGCTTAAGTGGCTATTGAAGTTGCCAGTTTGTGTCATGGAAAGGTTTTTGGAATTACCATTTCCAGTTGACTTTGTGATAGGTAGTAATGATTCATCTTAGCAAGACGAAAATGTGAATTAAATTTTAAAAAAATGGAGGTGTGTAGGAGGACAAGGATGCTTCAGCATTGGTCGTCAAAAGAGGACAATGTCGCCAAATGAGGAGAATCGATTTGCTCATCTTGGCTTTTTTTCATCTTGGGCAAACCTTCTCATTATAGAATAGGACGACTAACTGACACACAATGGGTATTCTTTGCTGAGTATACTACAGTTACAGATGTGTACTTTATCTGTGCTATATAGTGTAATACTCCGTGGCGCACAATAATAGCAAAAGGCGGGTATTTATATAGGGAGTACATAAACGGCTCTCCACCTCCCAAAAAGGCTAAAACGCAGTCTTCGTTTAGCAACCCATTTTTTGGGACTAGATACATACATGGTAAAAGGAAACAGGATTAATGATGATGGAAGGGCCTTCAAACAAAACGACCGTTCTAATGGCGAACAAAGACTGTGCTGTACTCGACAAGTGCAGAGTCCAAGTTATTATTGCAAACTGTGGCTTTATAAATTAAATATAGAATAATGCGACTTTTCTAAAGTGTAGTACTGAGTAAAAAAGACCTTGTAGGCATTTTTTCGTTAATATGTAAACAAAAATTCCAAATGTGACGCGATAGCAACTCATTTTGGATCGCATAGTGGACTTCCCTTTCCAGTGCACTTATTACCCAAGTTTAATATATTTGCACTACTTCTATGCGCTTTCCCGGATTATAGGGGCTCGAATGCTAATGCTATATATTGTTCTGGAAGCATAGAAGGCTATTAACAGAAAACTAGAAAGCACATAGAAGGGTCTACATTCATCTATAAGGTATGGTAGAGGTATGCAAATGCCAGCCCCTCTTGGACTTCGTATTCTTCAAAGGTAAAAATTTAATAAAAGGTTAGAAGTTAAATAAATCCCAAAATGTCGCAAGCAAGGGTTGTTCGCCATTTAAATTCAAATGAAAAGCGTTACGCTATGCCTCCATTCAAATTTATTGATTTATTGGTAGCTGTGTGACGTCACACCCTTGTCCTTGAGCATAAAGTAGATAGACGATAGTACGTTATAAATGGGCATTAACAATGTTTTCGACGGTTTTAAATAATAATAGAAGCAAAACGCAATGTCGAAAAGGCATCCGAAGGAACCAAAACGTGCACTGTGCAAACGTAGTGATAAATTTGACGAGATTTCGACGAGAAACGACGGTAATTTTGTGTTGGAAATTGTCATCGGTTCGATAAATGTCAAACGTTGGAATCAGCTTAAAATTACGTTATCGTGCACAACAAACGAGGAACTGTCTACGTTTCTTTTAGATCTCGCCGAAAAGTACTTAAAGGAGTAAGTAGTTTACGATTAAGTTGGCATTTTCGGTAATTCTTCGAATTTTTCAATGTACGACATTTTTGTTTGCGCGTTTGACAGATCGATAACAACAACACTGTTTGGCAGTTCACACATGTGCATTTGTTTACTTTTTGTTTACATAACCTCTAAAAGGCAAAGAGCAGTCTCGTTTCTATCACTCAAACTGCAGAAAGAAAATTTGAGGGTGAAGTGTTGCTTCCTTGTTCTGTTCCAGATAGGTACTTGCTTATAATGTCCAAACTCTGCATTTAAACTAAGACCAGGATCTTTGCAATGACTCCCAATGTCTTGCTACTATTAGTCCACCATTTTGAACTGCTTTGTTGCAGAACGCTCTGGAAAGTTAACCGAGAGGCTGACCCTGACGATTATTTATCCTGGTTCCTTGGGCTCATATTCAGCTTTTCGAGCATATTTTGTAGAATCTAATCGGCAGTCTAGTCGAGCATTCGAATTCATCTTGTGAAGAAGGATGGTCATTGTAGAGCCATACACATTTGCTCGCACTTCTTTGTATTATTCACTGTCGTTAGCCAATAAGAATATTTACAACAAGATCCTACAGTAATTCTATGACGAGATTTCGTTCCATTCTATTACAATGTACACTTCGTGAACTATCACTGGTTATTCTGAAAATTGACACACACTGTATAAATAGAATGCTCTTATTTTTATTCATGTTACCTAATGGATGCAAAATTTTGAAAGCATTTAATATTGAGAATCATATTCCTAATTTGAATGGGTTTACAAGTAATTAGGTCTCTGAAATTCTTAAAAGGATACAGCAACGTCGGAAGTACGGGTCAGAGGGGGCGAGCCGCCCCCTCAGTTTTTACACAAGGGGGGCCGCGCCCCCTCTAAGAATGAGTAGATAAATCATTCAAAAGCGACTAACACATCGTCTACCTACGGCATGTGCGTGCAGAAATTACAAAGAGTGTAGAAGTAGAGGATACGTTGAAAGAATTTGCCTTGCTGGCTGCGGAGAGGCGGAAAATTTTTAGATATATTTAATTTTTTATACTTGCTTTCTTTACAATGCTCATAGTGCAATAAATAGAAACAAAATTTTTGTAACTTTTGTATGTTCTAGTTCTTCATTATTTTTTAAATAAATATTGATGATCTATGATGGGTATGGTCTTCTCAATCGAGTCAAGTATCTCTGAGTTGCTCAATTGCATATAACTAGACATCCTCCGACACTTTTTTAAATTTTTTTCAAAACCTTTCTTTCAAAAATACATTATTTGATTGATTAAATAAACAGGATTTAGGGTCACTTATAAAACCCACTGCTTTGCATTAATTCGTACACAATTTTGTATGGGAGGGACGTTTCAGACTCCATGGTCACTGATTTTTGCCCCCCCCCCCCAACCGTTATTCACTTCCGACGTCGCTGAAACGATAGTCTTTTGGCTTTTATAAGGCAACCAGAGCAAGGTATACTCATAACTAATTAAATTAATTAAATGCTCGTTTATATGTAATGAACTAATGACTGATATTCAATTTTCTAAAATGACCTCAACTATAATAAGTAATTTTATTATATTTTAACAAAGCCCACTCTACTTTTACATTTCCTTCCCAAGCACTTTCTTGAATAGTTGCGATCATACCTAAATAAAAACCTAATTTTTTTCCGGTTTTTAAATTTTAGGCCATGGATTCATGGGATTCATGAAGATCTTGTTTTGTTTACTGTATCCATGGTAACTAAGACAGACAATACTATTTAAAAATGGCTGACGGTAGAAACATGTCCTTTTAAAATTTGAAAAATATGATACATGTAATCAGGGAAAAGAATACAAAAAATTAATGCTCTATACAGGGTGTAATAAATTACAAACTTATTAATAATTAAGAATCTTGTAGATCTGTGTATAAAAATGACCTCCATCAAACATTTTTTCAATGTCTGAAACCATAGAAATCGAGATAGAAATATATTTCAAATTTAGAACTAGACATTTATAAACCTTTTTCGAGATCATCCCGTTTTTTTTGTACGAGTGTTTATAGTTTTGGTCCTCTGTGGGGTGGTCCTCCCCAATCGTTATATGTTGTTCAACCGGGCATTTAATATCAATCAATTTTTGTTGCAGGAATAAATTAGCATCTCTGCAATCAGAAATTAGGGCATTAAAAAAAATTGGTGAAGAAAGTGTACCTGAAGTAGAGCATAGTACAGCTGACGATCATCAAAATGTGGCAAAAAATGATCGTAGCAAACGTAGAAAAATTCAAGATAAAGAAACTGTTGTTCAGATTACAACGCAGGAAGAAAATGAGGATGATAACGTAAACGATACAAAGCAGGCTGAGCCAATTACAGAAGACGTTAACTTGGAAGCAGCTCCTCCTGTTGATGACTCGAAAGGGATAGATAAAATTCGGAAACATCGCAGAAAAGAGAAGGAAAATGCGGATAAGAATAAAACATTAGAGAAACAAAAAAAGAAAACGAACAATTACGACATTAGAAAGGCTCCCGAGTTGAATGAGCAAATTGAAGAAAAGGCGGACCCTGATGGTGCTCTTCTTAATGAGGGTGACTTAGACCCTCAGCGAGTTGCTATAAAAATTAAGTTGTGTTGCACTTGTGGCACACGTCATATTCAAGATCATTGTCCATTGCAAAACCCTCACTTTGTAGTCCATGACAGTTTAAGATACGAGGAATGGTCAGAAAAGTACAAACCTTTATACGAGCAGCAACTGCATGTGGAAGACTCACAGGAAAATAAGGAAAATATCACATTCTCGTTCTTATCGCTCCCACACGGTCTTCAGCTAAACGAGGTAAATGGCACAGAAGAATTGTGCATCGTTACAAGCATAACCATCAAGGAATTCACGCAATTCGGGCCACTATTCGGTAAAACTGTTAAGGAGGTCGACATTTCGGAGGACTTCAACATGAAGCATCTGTGGGAAATTTACTCCGATAAATCCCATATTTATGTAAACACGGAAGATTTGAATGAGTCCAATTGGATCAGATTTGTGCGACCGGCGCCGACACGCGACGAGAGAAATGTTACTGCTATCTCTAGGAATTGCGAGCTGTTTCTCGTCAGTGTTAAAGAAATCGGCGCTGGACAGGAATTGTTGTATTGGCAAGATGATGTCTTAAGCACAACAAAAAAGAAAATGGAAAAAACTAGTAAGTATTTTTCTTTTCACCAGGATAGCATATGAAACTAGCATAACAGATAGTTTTGAAATGGTTTGCTTTAATTTGTGGTGCCAAGAAAGAAGGTGAGATTTAGTAGATATAGGTACAATGCCGAACCTGGACCAATTCAAGGTCGCTCGCCACCTTCAGGTAACCTGTAAAGTAGGTCAAGGTGAAGGTTGCGTGTCACGTGGTGGTCACCTTGGAAAGTAGATCAAGCTGCAATGGCATTTGTTTTCAAGGTTATCGGAGATTTTTGATATTTCACTTTCAAGGTTACCAAAAGTCAGAGACCCCATTTTTGCGGTGCCAATTTTAGTTCCATGGTCACGAAAGATGAAAGCGAATCGATCCCAAACGTGAACGCAAATCGGATCCAGACGTTAACGTCAATTAAACCTTCACGTTTGGATTACACGACTTTTACCTACTTTCCCAGGTCACCGCATGGTGGCGAGCGACTTTCACATGGTCCAGGTTCGACACTTATTTAGTTCTACTAATTTTCGGATAATGGTACTAATATTCTTTTGGGGGACAAACTAGCACCAAATAGATACAGGAGTATTTGTTCTAGTGCTAACGGTGATATATTTCAGCCTGCGGCGGTTGCAACATGACATTCTGCCACCCTCTTTACTACCGAACTCATTGCTCAATCTTTCACGACATACGCTACAGCTTAACGATTCGTAAATATCACTGTAAGGTCTGTGGAGTCGCCGTACTCGGCAAAGAAAATATCATGAAGCACGCCGCCGAATTGCACAACGGGCAAGGCGCTTACCAATGCCAGTTCTGTAAAAAGGTATCGTCGGTAACATGATTCCATTCGAGTGAGACAACTGTTTTTAGTTTTTCTTACGCTTGAATTATTTAGAAATGCATCGGACGTACGGATGCTCGGCTAATCCGCACAGATCACGCCCGTTATGCGATTTTTGCGGGAGGAAATTCTGCCAGCCGCAGAAGTTGAAGGTGCACATCAAGCGAATGCATAGCGGTAACGTAACTGACCTTTTCTGTGACTTTTTGTACTTACTGTGTCTTGTGCAGATTTAGCGGAGGTACTCAAGGAATTTCAATGTAAAAGCTGCATGAAGTTGTTGGGTTCCCGTGCAGCGTTGCAGCGTCACATGAAGGAAGTACACAATAAACAATTGAATGGGGCGTGCGCGTGTAGTAGATGCGGAAAATTGTTTCAGAACAAGTCCAACTTGAAGATTCATATGCTGACTCATAGCGGTATTAAACCTTTTAGGTGGGTATTCATTAGGCGCGGTCCAGATTAGGTTTAGAGCGTATAAAATGCACTCTGCTACATCTTTATAAAACAGTCTTCCCGTCTGTCATTTCCGCTTCTTGCTTACGAAATGAATGCATCGTCGAACGATGAACAGTACACCTATGTTTTCTTCGGCGAAAAAACATCTGATTATCTTGAAACTAGTTAGCGGAACACAGCGATAACAGACTCTTATCGTACTGACCGGAGATAAACTTTTACAAAAATGCAATTATTTTCCAACGCCCTTAACTTTTTAACACCTAATTTAAATTTACAATTTCAATCATTATTTAAACATCAAACAATTCGTATAAAAAATCACATTGATCTCGAATTCAAATAATATATCGAGTCTGTGCTCAGTCTAAACTTTGTCATGAGTCGTTCTCCATTATTATTTCTTGGTTCTTTGCCATATTTTTCGTTTAGTAGTTTGGTATGGTTGTTCCCACCTGTTGTATTGTTATTTTGAAGGGGATTTAATTTTGTATAATGCATCTCGAATTTGAAAAAAAACAACGTTCTAAAGAGGTTTCCCTCAAAAACATAAACAGTTGTTACCTGCAGTATTGGGGATGTAGAGTACTCATCTCTTATGGAAGAGAGGGTCGGACGCTATTTTTAATAAACTCTTGAAATTGAGTTATCAGGGCAAGAGTGTACAGTTTTATCCACTAGTAGAACATTCGAGAGCGTTCGGAACCGTTCGTGAAAGACCGACGTTTGCCATGTAAGAAGTCTTTTACAAGGGTTTTATCCCCCATAGAAGAAGCGCTCCGACGGTTCCCCCATTAAAAATATTGAAATTGTGTTTTAGAGCATTGTTTACACCATAATCAGGTAAAGTATATGTTGTTGCAAATAAAACGTTAAGATGAAGTGAATTGATACAATCTGGTTTGATTAAATAGTCTTTGTAGCGGTGGCCATGGTCTTTGAGGCAACACTGTTACACATTGGGCGCGGTAAACGGACAGAAGCGGCTACGTTTTTCACGCAGCAAATCCGCTGAACGGCTACGCTAATAATCAGCTTTGTCAGCAGCTGTGTGCAATTTTACTTAGCGGACATTTCTGATACTTGCTTATGATTTTCGCTGGTGTCTGCTGACTGTCGCTGACCGCGCTATTTCCTTATAATATTGTGCACCCCTGTGTCACATGAGCCAAGAAAAATCTTGACGATTAATGTGCGCATGCGCAAAGATTCTCAATATCAACTTTCTTATTTTACGCTTATGGGGAGATCTTGAAGTTGTTTTTAATTTTCTGATTTAATAATATATTTTGTTGAAATTTTAACCACAGGTGCTTCTAGTAAAGGCAAACATATCGCATATCGTAAAAATTGGATGTGCGCATGCGCAGACTACACAATGCCAACTTTTTTATTTATGGGGATATCTTGTCGAACTTTTAATCACTTCCTTATTTATAAAGATATTTCTTTGAAATTTTAACCATAAATGCTTTTAGTTTTACTTATTACTTGTTTCACAAACCAAGTATTAAAAATGTGAAGATAATATTTACAGCCGCGTGGTCGATTTACCACCTTGATTTGTTCTCATAAGGTGGTGGCAGACACACTATCCTAGCAAATTAACTGCTTAGGATCTTGTGTGAACGTATCTTTCACAATCATAGCTATGTTTACATGCATTATGTCATATGTGCTGATTGGGATAGTGTTGGTTTATATGTCTTGTAGTTTAGGGTCATTTTCTGCGCTGCGTGGAATAATACTTAATTGGTTGAGGGCACGGGTGGCCGTTGAGAGCTGAACTTGTTCACGGACTGGGAGTCTATATTATGTTTCTTGAGGTATTCTTGTATGAATTGGAATTTGTTCACGCTTTGTCATGGGGGTGGCTGGTCTCCCGAGCGGGATGCGATTTGACGCCGTTGGTGATGCCTTCGTTCCTTTGAGGTGTTGGCGATTATGATGGTGGCAAAGTAAGTCACTCTCCACAGCTTGGTGATTCTGTGGTGGATTTAAGCAATACGCTTTAAACATCCCTCAAAAATATTTGCAAAAAAAGTTTAGTGTCCAACATCAAAATGAATTAAGTTTACTACTCATTTGCGAATGAGAGAATTACTACTCAAATGTTAGAGGTAGTTCTAGCTTTCAAAATTGACTGTTTAGGTGTATGGAAAGAAACTGCAACGCAGCATTTACTACTAAACAATGTCTTCAATTTCACTACAAGAAAGTGCACGGCTTCACAGACGACATGATGCCCAAAATTAAACGAAGCGTGGATTACACTTTTGAAGCGTATAGCGGGGACAGAGACCAGGATCAAGACGGTGAAATTGTTGATAAAATCTCAGATACTGGAAACGAGAATAACTTTTTAAATGACGTTTCCGATGATGAGAACAGTAATAGCACTCCGAGACTTCTACTTCTCTCTAATAATGTAGCTTGTATTTCAGGCTTAGACGATAAGAATTTAGATGATCCCCCTGCTGTATGTTCACCCCCGCAACTTGCCACAGAACATTCTTCTGTCTCAAATTCTAGTCCTCCGGCATTGGAATCTTATTCGAATTCCAACTTGAAAATTCTCAGTAAGGGAAGCAAGAAATGGTTGGGTGACGATCCACTGCCGACTTTGAAAAATGAAATTTATCGTTTAAGTCATGTTCAGGACAGCAAAATAAGTAATTCCGATATCGGCTTAGATGTTAACGAACAGCACGCTTACGAACGCACTAAGTTAAGTATGAATTTGAACGTTTATTCGCGGCACGAGTCCTCGAATGCCAGCCTTCTGGTGGAAGCGGCGTTGGACTCTGTCACTGATATACACTGTAGCGACTCAACAATTAATATTGACGTCGACTCTACACCCACCGGTACAGAAGTCCTAGTGAACAATCTATGTACCCTAACCCATCCCGATACCTTATCAGACGTACCTTACAACCATTCAGTGGATTTAGGCGAATCGCGCGACATTAATCTAATATCCCCGTCAGTGAACGAACCTATTTCAGTAACAGACGGCGAAAATATGGGCATCGATTACTCGAACTTTCACCATAACGATTTTAGCCCAACCAACAGTCCGGGTCTCCAACACCGCGCGGACTTTAATCGGGACTACATCGACGTGGGCCAAGTTTCCCCTCAAGACTTGCAAAGTTACAATTCATCCCACGAAAAAAATTTGTCGCCCGGCGTCAGCCCGCCCAGATACAATTTCGGCCATTCCATCAGCGCGGACCACGTCTCGTCGGACGACAGTAACGGAATGAGTGTCCAAAATTTGAGTTTACACGGCGCCAAAAACGACGTGCAACTAGATCTATCCATCTACAAATCGCCTTATCTAGACACCAACTTTCAATTGCGCAAAGACTTAGGCATGAAATTGAACTTGGAACCGGAACGGAAGCAGGTGTACGTCTTGGAGATTAACGATGGTAAAATGTACCACGATAACGCATTAAACGACGAGTGCAACAAGTACGATCTACCCTCAGAGTCGTCCGAACGCGATCAAGTCGAAAGTTTCGATTCGAATATGTGCAACAAAGATTTCGAAAATATCGACAGCGACGATATTAAACACAAAGTCTCAGAGCTCAGATCTAAGTATGAGGTCGAGTCGCTTGCGTCTGAAATACGAAACAAGCAGTTTGAGATTGACCTGAATTTGCGGACTAAGAGTTACGACCTGGCAAATCGCAGCGTTTACGATAGTGCGGTAGATGGCGATTTTCGCGTTAAGGGCTACGACATCGGCGAAGGCGTAGACGTACGGAATAATTTAATTGAATCCGAATTTCGTTTGGATCGAAATTTTGAACCGATCATACTCAACTCGACCGAGTTGCAAGGACTCGATATGTCGGCTCGTAGTTATCACAATTATCATAGCTCGCAAAATTTGAATAGGTATCATCATTTGTATCCGGATGTAGAGCGCTCGAGCGTCGATTTAAGATTAAATTATAGCCCGCCTTTACCTTCCTACCCTCATGCCGATGTTTTAAGGGTGGTGTCTTTGGATTTAACCTCGCCTGGTAGGCATAGTGTAGATCTTAGTCTACGTTCAAATCCCTTACACGTACATCAGTTGGGGAATTCTAGACTACTTACTGATCACAGTATTCAAGCTAATCGTATTTTAAACGATCACAATAGGTTAGGTTTAGATCAGAGCCGCCTGTTAAGTTCGGAGCTTAACACGAGTAGACCGCGATTAATTGCGGATACGGGAAATCGGGTACTTTCTGATCATAGTACAAACCGCTTGTTATCCAGCGAGCAGTTATCCGGAAATCATTTACTTGGCACAGACGAATCCAGGCTATTAGAGCAGAGTAGAATTATTTCTGATAGTCGCATACTTCCGGCTTCTACGGGTAATGGCTCAGTTTCACCTTTACCGTACGGTACTTATTCCGTTTCACCTACACCATACCATCCCACGCCGTTAACGTCTCGTTCCCATACCACTTCCCCTACACCGTCACCTTATCATCATTACTCAAGTTATTATTAAGAGAGAACAACAGACTACTTATATCACATATTTTGTACCATGCAATAGTTTATTACTCGTTTTTTTCATGTAATACTGCTTCTTTGGGGTGGATAAGGTAATGTTGGTCAAAAATGATTTGCATTATTCAGTTTATCTTTATCTCCACACAATTAGGTAGTCACACAAGTTTGGTCCTTACCATACTCGATGATGTTATACAAATTCGATCTGCGCCATCATGGAATAAAAACTTTCTCATTTCCTAAAAAAGCATAAAAGGGTTAGATGTAGGTTTTGTTTGTACGAGTATTTTTATAGGTAGTTAAGAAACATTCTCTGCACTTTTTGTTAATAACTTATTCCTGTAAATTCTTCATTTTTTTCAAATTTAGGAAAAATAAACAAGTGGCTATCGCCACTGTGGGAGATAGTACAAATAGTCTAAGATGCCATATAAGGCCAACTTTCACACTTCTGTTTACTGAGTGAAATGCATTTTTTAGTACTCTTAGTATGTAAACAAACGCATTGCAAATAGGTTTCGTAAAAAGTCAAGACTACCCTTAATTAAAATTAATGTAGTTCATATTTCTATCTACTTCTATAATATGGAGAGAGCGCATGCGCACTATCGATGCGTACCCCACAATCAGCTGTTACGGTGCTTCCTTCTCTTTCACACGGAACAGTACGGTTGTCGCAATTCTAAGTACCACACGAGAGAGACACGTGTATTGTTCCATGTGTAAGAGAAAGACGTACGCTAACACCTGATCGTGAGGTACGCATCGACGTGAGTGCGCATGCCCTCTCTCCATGTGATAGAAGCAGACAGACAGAAATATTAATTACATTAACTTTATTTAGGGTAGTGTTGACTTAATTTTTTAGGCAACCATTTGCAATGTGTTTCTTTACACATTAAGATTGCTAAAAAATGTATTTCACTCAGTAAACAGATGAGCAAAGGTTGCCTTATGTGGGGGGATCTTGTACTAAAAGGTTAACCCTACACTCCTCAAATTCGTTAACGTCTTTTTTTAAGCAGAGTAATTTTACCAAGTTAAAAAAAAACGTACAAAGGTCTAAACTCACTGAGAAAAATGGACTATTTTGGTCATTTGTAATGTCCAGCTGTTCGTTAGGCAACCAACACGCCACCCGCCCAAAGCTACCCAAATGTATTTGCAAAGAACTACCTACTTGCACCAAGGGATGAGAATTGCAATGTATTTCATTTTGCTAATCATATCGTTGCAAATGGAAGTATGATGACCTGTAAAAGGCCTCTTGAGGACGCTAGAATCCCCCTAAATCGCTTAGAAGAGTCTAAAAAGGTTTCCTAGCGCTTTCCAGACTTTGTATGGATCTGACAATTATCAGTAGGGAGGATGACAGAATAACCCTGGAAAGTCTATAGAGTGCTTTCCAGAACAGATCTTATAGCACAAGATCTTTAGAACCTCTCAGGAGGTCTAGAGTCTAAACTCTTTCAAAAACCTTCAAAATGGAGGACACTGTTTCGATAAAAGTGTAACTTTTTGTGTGGAATGAATATTCATTAACTGGTTAAGTAAACAACTTTGGCCAACATCAGTTGTAGATATACATCTAAGACTTTTTTTACAATCCGTATTATTTTTCAATCATCAAATGATGGGACTGTTTTGACCATTGGAATCTTTATTTAATTTTAATTTATTAATGATGTACCAAACACACAAGTGTATAGTCACAAATATTTTGAGGTAATAGTAAACACCAACTCAATATAATTCAATTTTTTTTATCCTCACTTGACGTTCTACAGTATTACATTACAATGTCGATATTATTTTTTGTGTAGGTCAAGTGTAGTCTACTCGTACGGTGCACACCTCATTAAGCTTTGTTGTAATTAAGTTCCACACGTTCTGTAAAGATTATGAGCATGTACTACATGTTGTCAGTCATCTGAAGGTACATTAAGCGTTTTTGTGATATGTATATTTAAGTAAACTTAATTTTGTATTAATCGGAGTTGACTAGGAGAAATTATTAGTTACAATTTGACCTCGTCTTAATTGTAATATCAGTGTTGCTTGTTGCATATTATTTATGTATATTGTGATTGTTAACCTAATAATTTGTTTTAAGATATGCAATGGTATTAACTGGCAATATATTAAGAAATGTATTTCTTGTGGATCTACTTAGCGTAGATACAGTAGCTCAAGTGGATGCACGATTTATTAACGAAATTGGTGCATGAGTGTTAGGCTATTTTAATTGATGGCAATATTTCTCTAATTTGTTCATCCTTTGTTGTTTTATCAAGTTTTTATACATATTCCTGAAATAAAATGTTATTATTGCAAGATTAATATTGAAATCTTTAATGACACTTTCATAATTTCCTTGACACCTCATGCGCCTTGTCACACGCCTCCTACAAGCCACTTTGCATCTCCTTCATCTAACCTAAACTTCTATTCAAGCATTCCACATCGTCTTCACGCTCTCAGTACACCCCATTTACGCCTTCTCGATCCTTTTTCATACTTATTCCGAAGCACTTCACGCCTGCCCTCCCCCCTCCAAATCTTCACAATGCCTATACTCATACCAAAGATAATGCTATTATCTTTGCTCATACGTTCTATCTTTCTTCGTCTTTCACATCTTCATTGTATCAACTTCTTCTTGCCATTTCCCTCAAGGTACTTTTACTACGCTTTTGTTCCCGTCCTTTTTTTTTTTCACATGCTTCAAATCGCTATGGAAGATTATTCATGCCTGGTTCACATTAGCCTCGCCTCTTCTTTACGTTTTTTGATCCATTCACGTCGCCGCCCTCTTCATAAGTATCCTTTGCGTCCCATTCACTCGTCTTTTTACCCTTCCTTGACTTTATTTTTTATCTTCTTGCTATCCGATCCCACTGTGCACCTACATCACAACTTGCACCCCTTTTTGACGTCTTCTTTAAGTATTTTGACTTGCCTCTCTTCCCACCTTCTGGTCTGCTTTACACCGTACCCATCATGCCTTCTTCACATGTCTATTCCACTTATACTTTGTCCTTTGTGTCTGATTACCAAAATATTATTCCGCTCTTTTTAAATTTGAATTTTTTAGTAGGTAGTTGCGTGGCGGTTATGGAGGACGCCTATGTAACGTGCCTATTTGTCAATTATGAATTATATGATTGTGACAGAAGTAAAATAAATGGATAAAGTCAAAGTTCAGAATTTTAAACTCATTTATTTCTTCATCTTCATCTGCTTAACATCCTCTTTTTGCGTTCTTTACGGCAATTTTGCATCTCCACATCAACTTGTTCAGAAATACCAGAGTACTAGTGATGTGGATTGTAAAATAACGATTTGTAAGTTACATAAAAAACGGTTATATTACGCGTAACTTACAAGAGGCCGGTTTTTTTATGTACCTAATTTATGAAACTTACGTTTTTTGTTTAAAAAACCGTAATTTTTGTAAGTTACATAAATGTAATACCTATTTGATACATTTTGATCGGTACTACCACAGACCATCAACGGTACTACTAACATAAACGATTCACCGTTGAATTTGGTTTGGTTTAATGAAGATGATACAGCCTCTAATTCGCTATCTGGAACTTCTTCCTCCAAACGACGCGTGATGCGAAATACCTACTGCTTGGGTATTTTATTTAATACACCAAAATATATAATTTAACAAGTGTTTTTATTTTCAAACACTCACAAAATTCAAAAAGGTTTATACAATATTGAAAAAAAACATAAATTACTGGTAATTTTACTGTAAAATTACGGTTTTTTTAAAAAAAATGGTAAGTTACATAAATTACATAAAAAACATAAACAATTGGTAATTTTACAGGTAATATTACGCACTTAAAAAAAACGTGTAATTTAAAATCACTAGTTTCTAGTCTATAACTTTTGATTGAGAAGTCTGGTCGAAAAAGTACGAATTGATTTGGATTCTACGCACCCAAATTAATAAGAAAAAGTGTTTTCCCGAGAAATTTTGGTGTAGTCGATTTTTGGTAAAAAAGGAAGGTTATACACTGCCTTTTTTTTGAGCCCCGAAAAAAAAATTGTCTCAGATCGACCCGGAAAAAAAATTTTCTTATAGAATGTGGCCTGTAGAATCCATAATTTCAAACAGTTCTAATATTGGGCTACTAGTTCAAAAGTTACAGCCCTTTGAATTTTTTTTCGAAATTGGTTTCTTGAGAGTACGTACCTACTTATATATGTTACATTACAATGTCATAAATTTGGTGTGCATTTCCTTTTAGAACTTTAGGGGAAGGGAAACTACTGCTATTTATGAAACTAAGATTGAATTTAAAAAAAAATTATTCCATCATTTATTTACATTGACCGACCGGTTATTATGAATAATCGCCGCATTAATAACTTTGACCGTAACACATATACAGTGATATATTTTTACTTCAATCAACCGTATTAGTTTTCAATTTGTTGCCCCCATCTTTTTCAATAATCTGCGATGCCATGGAATTTTCTAAAACAAAAAGATATCCAGTTGTCAATTAGCAGCAGTTCGAAATAGATTTTATGATCGACTTAGGTTACTGTCTTGCAGTTAATGGTGACTTATTCGAACATTTATTTGTAAATTGTTATATTAAGAAACCGTTTTTAGTAATTTTGTCTTTCTTTATGTTGAATTCGCTGTTCTAAATATAATACTTTTTGATAGAATTTGATTTGTTTTATAGCAGACATTCCATGGCATGACGGATATTTGCGAGTTTTGTATTATAAAATTCCATGGCATCACAGATTATTGAAAAAGATGGGCTTTTATTTTTCCAATTTGCGTCTTTATTATGCAAACAATTGAAAACTAATACGGTTGATTGACATAAAAAAATTTTTCCTACAAAAAACCTTAATACGTACATTTTTGCTCTAAAATAATTTGGGGAGCCAATAATGGCATGTTATGAATTTTACATTGAAATCCCTATGATGCGTGACGCAAGTCACCACCCTGTATAATCGTTCTAGCTAGAGTAATGTATTGTAACGTTATTTATAAATTCGGGTTCGATTTATATCAATATTTATTAAACAAAACTAAAACACTATAAAAACCGTACAATTTATATCGATTACACTTCGCAATTTATATTTCCGCGCTCGATGTTTAATACGTACTCGATCTCGTTCGATAGTAGACTGCCGCGATGTTCGGTCCGCAACCATTTATACACGCAAGCAATGTAAGTCCAGCACATTCGCGTACAGTCTCGAATATTCCTACACAAATCCCACTATCGCGCGCGTAGAAAATTCCAGAGCGCCAAAGGCGACGTCATGTCTGGAGCGTTTCCGTTACAGTATGCAGAATTTATATTTTCAAAAACCATTTTCAAAGTTCGATTTTCGACTTTTGGTGATTGTAGTTTATACGATCTGTCCGTCTAGCTTCATTAAGAATTTTTGCATAAGTTTGCATTTGAAAAAAAGTTAAAAAAACAATCCTAAACCGCCGATTTTAATAGGAAACCTCTTGCTTTAAAAGGAGCAGAATACAAACGATAATGAAACAACTGGTGAACAGGTAAATGAAGCGTCGGTTGCAATAGCAGATGCGAAATCACAATTTCGACCTCACGATGCGCAAATTATTGAATTTTCACACAGCGCCGCCTAAACTTTTCGAAAAATTCGTTGTAGCTGTTAGGCTATTACATATTTGTTATAAACAATTGCGAAAGTTTTGTTATTGCTTTTTAGTGTCGTCGTGCGACCTCCGTTTTGTATCCAGTACTGCCTGTACAATGTGATTGAAATCGATGTTACCCCCGGATACTAGACTTGGTAAAGATAGAAAATCAAAATCATGAAACACGTCAAATTTAAATTATAAATTGACATTCTTCAACGTGTAAACGATAATATTTCTATTGCTCTAGATAGGTTACACTTACACACGCCGAAATGAAAAACTGCATGTTATAAATAAAAATTTAGATCCAAGAATATGTTTTGCAGTTTGCACCTTTAATAAAGAAAAGTGTGAATTTTTTATATCTAATGTAATGGTACAAGGAAAAATTTGAAACGATACTATTGCCAACAGTGGCGGATCTAGACATATTTTTCGGGGGGGGGGGGGGGGGGGGGCGGTGCTTTTGTGGATTTTCAAAATTAAAAAATAAACGCTAAGTTAATTTTTTTATTTATAGAGAGTTCATGCGCGAAAATTGTACGCCGCTTTAGGGTAAAAGGTTGTCCATGCCAAACCCCCAATCGGGGAAAATGATGTAAATTTTTTATATGGACGGGGGGTCACCGGCCCCCTGTGACCCCCCCCCCCCTAGATCCGCGCCTGATTGCCAAAGCCCAAAGAATATACATAATAAACTCTTTGCTATTGTGGTAGTCGACCATGCTCTTCGATGCTATTTAGCGCCGTATGGTCCGCAACTTTATTGACACCAATACATTCTAAAGAATATCTAAATACGCCTCTGCTTGTTGTAGAATTACTACTAGTGCAGCTAGCCTTTCAGAGAGGTCGCCACATAAATGATAGTATGAAAATCAAAAATTATTCTTGCAAGCTATACGGTATAGTCACACTCAAATGATTAGGATAAAAAAGGTATTACAGTCGAGTGATTCGAAAACAATACGCTCCGTAATGACCTGATTTATATTTTTCACGCTCATTAAGAAGCTAAACGATCAATACCTTCCGCTTAATCAAAATCTATTTTTTTTTAATTGAACGTTCTTTGTTCTTATAATTTATGCCATCCTGTAGGAGCGAACCACGTGCAAAATGCAGGATGTACCTACCTTCCCTAACAATGGGATACACTCTGCAACCAAGGAAGGAGATTTTTTGCTAATGATTATTTAATTGCATGCCTAAGCGAGTGTAGGAGGAAGAAGTTAGTGAAAGTGGCGATAAAATACTAGAAAGGCGTCTAAGTAGTCCAAACACCTGCAAAGTTTTTATGCGTTACTTTTTTCCGATTATTTTTTTGTTGAAATCGCAACAGTTATTTTGAATTGACGACATAAAAACAATGTTAACACCTGATGAATTTTGCAAGCGAGTAAGTAATCAACAAATTGCACGCAATAAAAATAAAGAGGTGAATCAGGAAGTTATGGAACATCTGGTCGGCAATCAAGGTCCGGATGACTTGATTACGCCGATTGGTCTTTTCCTGTTCTCTCTTCCTGTGACATTATTGCATTTACCGTTATGTTTACAATGATTGCTAATTACGTGGAGAGCCCAGACGTGCCCGTAGTTTTGTGGAATTATTTCGCAGACGTGGATAACCAAATATATCATGAGTGTGTGGGTTTGGAGCGAGTGG